CCCCAAAACCCCAAAACCCCAAAACCCCAATAAGAAAAAATGTTGATAATCTGAGCAAAAGTAAAATAAATAAACTTGCAATAAATATCAAGATGAAAAAAAGTAGTAATGAAATCTACATATGCTTTTGCTGCAATAAATTTTATAATCTTTAAGAAAGGAAACCTCTTCAGCTACCTTGTGGAGATATTATTTGCTAACAATGCTATAAAATTCAGAGAGACTAAGTTTAGAATCAGCAAATTCAATGTCCTTTCGATACTACTCATCTGTTTGCTTTTGATCAGCTAGCAACTGAACCAATGTATTTACTAAGAAGTCTTTAAAATCATGATTTCTATATGATTAACTGTGATGAACACTTAAATAAGAAAGCTCGCAGCTACTGCAAGACTCAAAATAAAATTGTGTGCAGTAAATGTTTATAAACTGATCTCCATTCTCATTTGTAGCGAGGTCAGAAAACACATTTCGCTTTAGAACAGAAATTTCTAGATGAGTCATTCAGTAAAATGATTCCAATCCTTACTGAGGAAATTTACTAAATTCAGATACTGATGGATAACATTAATTCTTTCATCAATAAAGAAAGAAGCTTTAGTGCTAGTGAAATTGAGAAAATGATTAATAAAAATTGCTATGTCATTCAGTAATCTGATCTTGATGATAAACTTAAAAATAACTTTAAATAGAATTCTGATGTCTTAAACTTTATTTCTAATTTCAGGTAATTTATTTAAAATCTAATTAATATAGTGAAACTTTCTAATAGATTAATCAAATCAATAATGAGGAATCAAAAGAATAATAGTAAGATTAAAAAGTAGATTTGCAGTCAAATCATCTGAAAAATAAAACTAGCTTAGCTTAATAAAAGTCATTGAAGGAATAGCTAGAGAAAGAGACATTATCAAAATTAATGGAACAAGATAAGACTAAATACTTAGAATTCAGAAGATTAGTAGATTTTCATTTGGGGAAATTGAGTAAAAATATTAGAGTAAAAAATAAGTTATTACCGATAACTGGATAAACTAATTTGATTTATAAAGCAACAAGAGATGGTTTCACAGCTAATCATTTTCATTAAAAGTGCGATAACTAAGGTCCAACAATATCAATTATCTTGAGTGAGCATGGTTAAGTCTTTGGAGGTTACACGTCGATATCTTGGAAATAAGTTAATGAATATATTTAAGACTCAGCTGCATTTGTATTCAGCTTGACCAAAAACTCACTTCATTAATAATTTCAAAACTTTGAAAAAGGTGTTATTCATAACATAGCTAATTTAATGATATTTGGCAGTGGTCATGATATTTTTATCAGCAATAATTGCAGCCAAAATAATAGCGCTAGTGTTTGCTATTTAGGTGGGACGTATATGACTCTGCAAGGTTAAAAGTTATATGATTAATAGGCTAAAGACCATTTAGCAGGCGGTTCTTTTTTCAAAGTTATTGAAATTGAAGTTTATTAAGTAGTATCATGATTTTTAAATTCAGTAGAACTGCAATTATAACTTAATTATAGATTTATTATTGATTTTTGTTATATTTTATGTTAATCTTTTGATAATGGGGTTTTGGGGTTTTGGGGTTTTGGGG